GTACTGAAGGAAAGGTAAGAAGTTAATGTCTAGATCTAGAGTTACAGAGGCATATTTATTACAGGTTTCATCCCATCCCATGTTAAATAAGGACATCCTCATATTGCTAGGAGAATGGGGAAGCGGTTATGTGGTGGCTACTTCCTGACAGGACAATACACACTGACAGCACATAATCTCTGGCCAAGTTCTTGAGATGACCGGTACTTGGAGAGTTTATGTGGTTCATAATTAGCTAAAGATGATTTGGATGCAGGAAGAAAATGTAGCAATATACACTAATTGTGGGTGGAGGTTGCCTGACATAATTACTTTAAAAACTGTGCTACCATAATTGGTCCAGGTAAACTCCCAAGTTATCCCCATCATGTGGGATGTGAATTTATCCCAAGCTCACTAGTGTCCCATGACATTATAGTTTTGCTTTTCTGCAATGCCAAATTTCAGATACATCCCTCCGAGTCATTTGAATACATGGGGTTGAACTGACATTTAAATCAATCAGTATTATTAAATTATTGCTATTGTAATAGCGCCTAAACAGTGCTCCAGTCAGGAACCAGGCCCAGCTGTACTAGGCCTGGCATGAACACATAGGATACAATGTGATCCCTACCCTGGAGAGTTTACAGTCTAAGGTCTTGGAACCTGCCAACTGACCCACCCTGAGGGACCCCAGTGACTGTGTGTAGTCACATTAATATAAATGGAGCTCAGCACAAGGGTTAGAGTCTGGCTAAATGGGACAGCTTGCCAGGCGGAGGTCTAATTTCATACACCCAAACTGTGGCTCCTATGTTCTCAGTTTTCCTGAATTTGCCCCGACTGTCTTTAGATCCACCAGCTACTCATCTGCAGTAAATTGCATAGTAATTAAGTTGAGGGGGCTTCTCTGCAGTTCATGACACGTACAACTTCTCTGTATCTTCTCAGCTTCCCATCTCCTTTCGTTTTTGTCTTCAAATTTTTATGAATTCCTTAAATAAAATAATTTGCCAAACAAGACAGAAAAGGATCCACACACTCAGCACAAGTATGAGAAAATCGCAACCAAAATTATGTACAGACTAATCAGTGTACACAAACCCAAACAAAACAATAAGGAAGCTCCACATAGAATCGTAGGACTGGAAGGGAACTCAAGAGATCATCTAGTTCAGTCCCCTGCACTCATGGCAGGACTAAGTATTATATAGACCATCCCTGACAGGTGTTTGTCTAACCTGCTCTTAAAAATCTCCAATGATGAAGATTCCACAACCTCCCTAGGCAATTTATTCCAGTGCTTAACCACCCTGACAGTTAGGAAGTTTTTCCTGATGTCCAACCTAAACCTCCCAGGCTGAAATTTAAGGCCATTGCTTCTTGTCCTATCCTCAGAGGTTAAGAACAAGAATTTTTCTCCCTCCTCCTTGTAACAACCTTTTATGTACTTGCAAACTTATGTCCCCTCTCAGTCCTCTCTTTTCCAGACTAAATATGTAAACAAATCCAAAGGGATTAAAAAGGTCTAAAAACCCGAGGACTATATGCCTTCAAATTCCTCAGATCTTCTTTCTAAAGCAGGAAGTTATTGTTCCATCTCTCTAAAAATCTCCTCTAAAAATGTATCTATTCTCCCTTAGCCTTTCTCCCTACCATCTCTGAGGGAACGCACGACCCTGGTCAGCTACCAGACATCATTAGTTGGAGGATTAAACCTCCCAGTTAGAGGAAAATAGATATGAAAGATAGTGAATTGGGAGGTAAAAGCACCCTCCAGTAGAGTCCAGGGGTCACAGCTCCAGTACCTACTACCTTTTCCCAGAAACAGGAGAGCTAAAGGATATGATTTTTGTCAGTTTAAATGTTGCCTAAGGGATCTAAGCAACAGCAGAGAAACTGAGCAGAATCTAGTCAGTTTTACTTGCCTACTGCTCGAAGACTATGAGAAACAGCAGATGCACTAGAGGTGATGGAAGGGTCAGGAAGCAACTTTACATTGGTTTATATCCCAGTCACACATGGAACAAACTTCAATATCAAAGGCTACCAACTTTCTTTTCATGAAAGTTTATATTCTGCAAATGGCTCATCTGTCTATGCTCTTATATAGGAGCCCATCATCATGGTATCTGAGCAGCAGCCAAGATTTAGACTTTGTCTACGTTAGCACTTTTGTCAGCAAAATTTTTGTCCGTCAGGAGTGTGAAAAAAACTCACCCCCCTGACCGACATAAACGTCACCGACAAAAGCGCTGGTGCGGACGGCGCTAGGTCAGTGGGAGAGCGTCTCCTGCTGACATAGCTACTGCCGCTCAGAGGGTGGCTTCATTATGCCAGCAGCGGAGCTCTCTCCTGCTGGCACAGAGCGGCTACCCAAGAGACCTTACAGCAGTGCAGCTCTGCCGCTGTACGGTCCGTAGTGTAGACCTACCCTAAAAAGCTTGCTCCCTCCCACAGCAAGAGGCAGGCACATGGTTTGTTTACGAAGTTATTATTGAACACAGACGAGTGGGAGTGTGCATCTGAGGCAGAGTGGTGGGAAAGTCTGGGTGAAAGGTTGGAGTCTGTGTTTCACTTTAAACACACTGAGCAATGAAACAGCTGACCAAACAGAAGGTGCTGGGTGGAGAGAGAGGTGGTCCCTCTGGTAGCTAGGACCGATTCCATGTAGGGCTTTGAAAAAAATCAGGACAGAAATCTTGAGCTGGGATCCTCTGTTCAATGGGGAGCCAGTGCAGAAAGCAAAGAATGAGGGGAAGCTTCCCCCTCTCCAGTGGTGATCAGAGCTTTGGAGCCCCACATTTGTAGCACCATGCTTCCATATACACTATTTAATAGGATAATACTTGGCACTCACACAGCACCTTTCAACCACAAATCCCACAGTGCTTTACAGATGGGGAAACCAAGGTACAAGTTTAAATGATGTGCCCATGGCCTCAGTGAACTAAAATCCAGTTTTCATGAGTTTCCCATGCCCCATCTGCTAGATCACAGCTACCCATCCCCACCCCAATCAATATTTGCACCAGGGCTTTTGTGACTTAAGCCATTCACACTGCAGTCCTATATAATTTAATTCTGTAAAGCTTAGGGGTGGTGTGATGGGGTGTGTACCCCACACAGGCCCTGAAGGGGCTAATGTGGGACTGAGAGGCCAATTATGTTATCTGGGTGCACCTGGAGGGAGAGCCTGGCTTAACTGATCATGAAGCCCGGGAGTAGGCTGGTCAGCATAAAGCTAGGAAGTTGAATGCAGAAGAGGGCTGCAGTGAGGGCGCGTGCAGTCACTCTCTGGGAGCAGCGAGGTGATGAGTTGGAAACCCAGGGGGGACAATAACCCCTGGAATCCTAGCTGCTGAATAAAGGGTCAACCCAGAGAAGTTGTGGGGAAGAATGCCTGAGAATGTGGGGTCAGAAGAAGCCTAAGGAAACAGCAGGAAGGAATGGCAATGTGAAGACCATGGCTGCTGGTTACAGGGTCCCTGGGCTGCAACCCAATGTAGAGGGAGGACCTGGGTTCCCCTACCAGCCACCAGGAAAGTGGCACAGGATCTGGAGACTTGGAACCAAAGACCATCTGAGGCAGAGTCTGGCAAGCTAGTCCAGTGGGATTCTGTCACCCTAGTAGGGGATGACTATATAGTGACCTGGCTGGAGGAGTCGAGTGCTGAGTCATGAAAAGGAAGCACCCTGAGTCCCGGGGGGGGGCAGAAGAGGACACAGTGCAAGCAAGCGAAGGAAAGGAGCACCAGACAGGGCAAGAGATAATTCCCAGACCCCACCACAAGGAGGTGCCCTTGCAGTGAGCAGAACCCTTTAACAGGTAGATATAGTTCATGCAGAAGACTAAACAGAGATACGCTGCAGGACTGAAAATTGTATAACGTGTTTACTGTCAAGCGTCACTTGTTTCCACATCTTAATTTGCATGTAACAGCCAGGAGCACACTGTGGTAGCACTAAGGTATTTCAATTAGCCAGGAGCAGATTAGCTGGGCTGTACTATCAAGAGTAAGTAGAAAGCTGGGGTACACATGTTGCTGTGCACTGGTCTGTGGGGGTGTCGTCAGTGGGGCAGGGCAGGTTTTTCAATCCTGAAGAACCAGTACTGGAGGTTTCTGACCAGCAGATTAAGGAGATACAAGGAGCTGTAGACGTGACACTGCAGCAGTGACATGCTACCTCAATGATTTTTTGCTTAGAGATGATTCACCAGCAAAGCTGTGGCCAGTAAGTGTAAGTAGATGCAATCATTTTGTGGCCAAAGAATATATTTTCTTTTGTGAAAGGCAAAGGGGCTTATGGGAGTGCACACAATTTTGTGTGCATGGGGGTGGGAGGGTGTTACTGCAAATTTAGGGAATGCTGAAATTTAGTTAGGGTTGCTCTGAAATGCACACGGGAGTTTTTGATGGGGGATGAGAATGATCTCTACAAGTGCTGAAGTCAACAGAATGTCAATTTAAAACACTGAACTTTATTTTGCAACACTGAAGAAAAGGGCCAATAATTACAGCATGGGCAGCTTTTAGGAAGGGACAAAAAGAAATGAGAGAGGCAGCAAGAAATAAGAAGCTGGTGGGGAAAAAATAGGAATCATTTTGTGGTTTATAGCATGAGCCGATTAACATGAAGTCTAGTTAGTTTCACAGAAGTTCAACTGTGCCTGACCCAGAGGCCTCCTCCCATATTTTTATTTTACAACCACATTTTCCTGGTTATTAAGATGTTTGACCCCCTCTCCCCATTTCTCTTTAAGTTTTTCCACACAACTCAGGATAGAGAAATTGATCAATACATAAGATGCTGGGGAAAGTACAGAATAAAAGTGAAAGGGATTAAAACAGCTGTTTAATCTATTTCAGTTAGAATCATCACTTTAAGTATCACAAGGAACAGTTGTAGGTTACAAAAATAAATCTCAGAGAAGTACATAAAAAAATAGGATATACAAAACTGTTTGTCCCTTTAACACCCAGTAATTACAAAGTTGTTTTGTAAGTACAACTTACCCTGACATGAAAGAGCTCCCCCGCACCTTCGCAGTCGTTTGACGTAATTATAGGGGTATGAACGTGCACGTAGCCATTATCCTGAAACAAGAGAGAACATTGAAAGTTGCCAGTCCAAGGATATTACGTGTCAACTCCAAGGAAGATTCCAACATGCGCAAGTCAGGATTCATCTATCAGGCCAGGGCCAAAGACAACATGTGTAACCTTTTAGAATAGCTTCTACGTTATGTGAGAGATATCCTGGCATGTGCTAAACACTAGTTGGATTTCTGGAGCGTGCAACTTTAGTGCCAGATTCTTCACGTGTTGGCACTATAGAAAAAATCCTGCAGAGGGCTCTATAACCACAACAATTCTACCATGCGAATAGAGCGCTCCATTACTTACTAGTCCACAGTGCCAAAATCTCTGTAGGAAACAAGTATTTACATCTGAAAGCCTGAGAGAGAAATAAAGGCCTCTCAGGCAAATGAGACTATGGAAAGAGCACATTTAGATTGTAAGCAGAAGGGACCACGCTTCCTGTACAGCTCCTAGCACAACGCAGCCCAACCATGGTTGGGTCTCTTGACACAACAATAATATAGATAAATGTCAGCTCCACATTATTTATGTATGCAAAACCCTATGAGTGCACCTATGCAGGGCTCTAGGGGCCTTTCAAAATATAAACACAAACAAACACAGCAACCTCCCTGAAACAGGGAGCAGAATACCCACCCCTCCAGCCATAAATCCCATCCCTCAGCACATCGCTCCTCCTGCACAAAAGCCTGGGAAAATAAATGGGATTTGCCGCCTACCCTAAATGTCAGCGAATTGGGGCTATCTGAACCAAAGAATTTGGGGAAGGCAGGGGCACGTGAATTTGTAAAGTTCAGGGCTGGTGTACAATAAATTTTACAGGAAGACATTTAAAGTAGCAGGTAGGGAGTAGAGTTTCTAAAGTCCAATGTAATTTATGGCAGCTACCACCATTAAGCTGGCAGTAGAGTGCATTTTACATTAGCAGACTTCCTCCTTGGCTTAGGAAGTGCCTGAGAAGTAGGCTCATCAGAGGGGTGCCCAGAACCACAGTCCCCCTCCTTAAGAGACTTAGCCCAGTTTCCATTATCAAACCACAACAAATATTACGGTAACATTAATGGCTCTGCCATGAACCCACAGCAGCAGGGGAGTTCAGAGCTCAGAGGAGATATTCATGCTGCATACTCTTCACTGGGTGTGTCTACACTGCAATTAGACACCTGTGGCTGGCCCATGCCAGCTGATATGGGCTTGTGGGACTCGGGCTGCGGGGCTGTTTAATTAAGGTGCAAACATTCCAGCTCAGGCAGCAGTCTGAGCTCTGGGACCCTCCCCCATCGCAGCCTTAGCCTGGACATTTACACCACAGCCCCATTAAACAGCCCCACAGCCCAAGCCCCATGAACCCAAGTCAGCTTGTACATTAATATGGAGATATACCTATCTCAGAGAACTGGAAGGGACCTCGAAAGGTCATCAAGTCCAGCCCCCTGCCTTCACTAGCAGGACCAAGTACTGATTTTTGCCCCAGATCCCTAAGTGGCCCCCTCAAGGACTGAACTCACAACCCTGGGTTTAGCAGGCCAGTGCTCAAACCACTGAGCTATCCCTCCCCCCCAATATGCCAGATGTGGGTGTCTAATTGCAGTGTAGATATACCCACTGTATCTAGGAGCATAGGGTCCTTAAGGCTAGGAGGGGTATTCACATCTCACAGGTATTGAACTACCCAAGGGTAAAGTTAAAGGTAGGTTTCTAGCCTTAGACATCCAAAGCAAAAATTCTAGCATTAATCAGGAACTGTGTGAAAAAGTCCTTGGGGTAAGAGCATTTTTAAAAAATGAAGAGAGGCTTGGCTTATACTACATGATATAGTTAAAGATCTACTGTTTACATTTTAGCTTTATGCTCTTTTTAGTTTTCAGTTTTGCACAATGAAAACAGACCAGTTAGTTTCGTTTTCCAGTTCTTATGCACAGTGCTGCAATGTTGGATTGCAAGTACTACATGGGAAGAATTGGATTCTTTTTTTAAAAAAAAAAAGTCATTTCCACTGGATCACAATGAAATAAAATAAATAAGACATGTTCTTGTTGGTCTTAGCATTTGCAAAAGCTTATTTTTACAAACATCTTAATCTGTGGCCAACTTTGACCTTGCATTCATTGTCCCTTCAAAAACCCATTCAAGTATCATTAAGCATCTAGCTTCAAAATATATATGACGTTAAGCAGAAGAACTCCACATGAAAAATATCACAATATTGAAAATAACTACAGGCCAAGTATTTGCTTTAGTAGCAGTAAGATATACACACCTTATCAGAATTTCATGCTTATTGGTAATTCTAACAGCGTTTTCCTATTGCTCTTTAAAACCTCCTTCAGGGTAAGATGTTCTTCAACATCCATCTCTGTCTTTTGCAACCATCAGAAGTCAAACAACTGTGAGTATTGCCATCTAGTGGGCAAACACTAGTACTGACTTTTCTTAATGAAGTGATGATGTAGCCCTATTGGTCCCAGGATATGAGAGACAAGGTAGGTGAGGTAATATTTTATTGGACCAACTTTTGCTGGTGGAAGAAGAGTTCTGTATAGCTCAAAAGCTTGTACCGTCCACCAACAGAAGTCAGTCCAATCAAAGATATAACCTCACCTACCTGGTCTTTTTCTTAACCAAGTCTTTTTACCTATAAGTAAGGCTACGAATGTGTCACGGAAGTCACGGAATCTGCGAATTCCTTTGACCTCTGTGACATTTTCTGCCTGGGGCTGGAGCTCCCAGCCAGCCACCCTCACCCTGCAGTTCCCAGGCCTACTCTAGTGGGGGGACCCTGCAGCTTCCCAGACACAACAGGGGGATCGCCCGCAGCTTCCCAGCTGCAGCGGGTGGCTGGGGGACCCTGCAGCTCCCAGCTGTGGCAGGGGACCACCCTGAGCTACCAGTTGCCCCAGGGAGCCAAGGGGACTCCGTAGCAGCCCAGCCCCCACGGGCAGGGGGACCCCAGAGCTCCCATTCCCCACAGCGACAGGGGACCTGAGAGTACCAGCAAGAGTGGGTGCGGAACCCGCCTCCCCATTTTGTCAGGGATTTTTTTTTTGTAAAAGTCAGGGACAGGTCACAGGCTTTGGTGAACTTTTGTTTATTGCCCGTGACCTGTCCCTGACATTTACTAAAGATATCTGTGACACAAACTTAGTCTTACCTATAAGGAGCTGGTACAGTACAGAAATTAACAGTAGCTTTAACTGGCATGATATTTCTATCTTAAAGCAATCCTAAAATCCATACGATATTGCACAGTTCTCTCATGAGAAGGCTACGCTTGGCTTAGTCTAAGTATCAGATTTGAAATACCAAGGCGCTCTGGAACTATAACTTCAAATTACAGGAGGTCTGACTCATCCTTTTATGAGATTAAACTGCCTAATAAGCCACAAGTCTAGTTTTGGAGGTAGAGTGCTTGGCATGTAGTTTTAACTCGAGTCATAGAGTTTAAAGCCAGAAGGGATAACCAGATTCTCACGTAGACCACAGGCCACGCGCACACTAACCCAACAACTGAAATGAGACCAAAGTATTACAGCCCACAGGAGACTAGACCATAATGTGCCGCAGGCAGAGAACAGGAGGGATCAAGGTCCACAAGTGCCTGAGGCACCCGCAATGGGAAGGAAAGGATTAAGTGAGATATATCCAGATAATCCTGGCAAGTGACCCACATCTTGGAAAGGAAGGTGAAACCTCCCGCCCGGATCATTGCCAATCTGTGCCGGGGAAGATTCCTTCCTGACCCACATATGGTGATGAGTTAGACACTGAGCATGTGAGCAAGAACCAGCCAGCCAAGCACCTGAGAGAACATTAGGTGCCCTCTCAGAGCCCTGGCCCTCCCCATCCAGCCTCCCATCTCCAGCTTGGGCCAACCCTGCTTGAGAGGAAGGAGATAAAAAAAACAAAACAGAATGCTTTGGGGGGAGGCAGAGAATCCCTTCCCGGATCCCTCTCGTTGGCTCCAAGGAAACACATTGTATGGATCCTAGAGCAAAGTAAATAAGGTTTTTAAAATGTTTAAGAAGCTTCATTTAAAATTAAATTAAAATCCAGAGCCCCCCGGACCGGTGGCCAGGACCCGGATAGTGTGAGTGCCACTGAAAATCAGCTTGCGGGCCGCCTTCGGCACGCGTGCCATAGGTTGCCTACCCCATAACAGAGCCTGGAGATTTAAAATAAAAATGTATTTTATTTAAAAAAACTTGAAAATTCTCAAAATCAAAACATTTCATTTGATCTGAAATGATTTTCATGACCTCAGGGGTCAAAGTATGTGGGGGAGAAAGGGGAAGAATAGTGGTAACACTTCCGCCCTCTGCCCACAAAACACAGAATCTGGGATACTAAAGATATGACTACACTGCAGCTGGGAGGTGTAGGGATTAGATGAGCGTAAGAATGTCACACAGGGGTGTGGATTTTTCACACCACTGAAAGACGCAGCTATACTGATGTAAGTTCCCAGTGCACACTGGTCCTAAATCAGTGCCAGAACTAGGAATAGAACCTCAGAGACCTGATTCCATGTCTCCCACTGTCACCCATTACATAACTGCAATGGGAAGGCGGGAGTGTTATGTGGCACCATCATTTGTATATGTGAAAACACAGTAACAAGATCAAGTGAAGAAGCAGAGCACCTTGAAAAATGAGTGGATCGCTGCAGTAGCTTCACTGCGTACCCTCAGGAGGGAGCTCAATGTGTTGGTCCTGCATCGTAAGTGAGGGAACTGCCGGCTGTATTCCAGAGGTTGCCTCTCTCTTGGTTTAAAAGGGAACGTCTAAAGAAAGGACAGGAAAAAAACAACCTTGAGAACCTGCAACTAGAATAATTTTACTGATATCCATGAAATATCATCACTGCCTATTAAAGTTCAATAAGTGATACAAGTCAGAAGCAAAATAATAGTTTTTTCCAGAGTACTTTGTGGATTTTACAAAGACAACCAGAAAGAGAATGAACCACAAGGGACAGATGTTGATCACTTTTGGAAAATGCTCAGATACCACAGTAATGGTGTCCATATAAGCACCTATATAGAATTAGAATTTCAACAGGACTCAGTGCCAAAGTAAGTGGCTAGATTTTAAAAAGAGCCCAGCACGGTGGGTGCCAATCACTTTCTGACATCTTGCTGTAAGTTTCACGGTGGCAACAGAGAACTTTTGGAGAGCTGATTCCAATTGTGGGTGCTGAGCAGTTGGGAAATCTGGCCCGCAATTCTTTAGCAAATCCAGTCCTTAGTATCAAGTTAGTTTCATAGTTTCCTCCCTATGCCCAGTCTACTAGTCAGTTTCTCCCTTAATGAAAAGCTTCTCTCACATCAATGGGAGAGTAGAAGACGCCTTAAAAACATTAAAAATAGGAGATGACTTTAGAAAAAATAGCAGGAAATACAGTTTGAAATGTGCTGTCAGAAACGGGAATATTTTGAAATTAGTCATATTCCAAAAGATATCCTGTGAGCTTGACTGTTAAGTGCAATAACATACCAGAGTATCACAGGGTCCTACCACACGAATATTTTCAGCTTTCAATTCCACATTTTGCATCCTATGAAGACTTTTTACCAGTTTCCCTTGCACTTCCACGGCGCTTCCAAAACTCAGATCTCTGGAAAAAACAACATTAACAACAATGTATCACTATGGCCCTGACATAAAGCCCATTGAATTCCAGGGACTCATGCTGACTTCTTTGGGTTAATTTAGATCAAGCCCTATGCTGACAGTATCTATTATCACAAATAGGCAGCTTGTTACAATTTGATTGCTATATTTTATTCACATGGCACTCAATATATCCCCATGGAAAGCATCTGGTGGGTGGGTGGAGGTGTGTATGTGTGAACCCAGGCTTCCAAGAGTCTGGAGATTTTAAATTAGTTGATGCATAAACCACCAAGCTGTCCATCTTACAAGAAATAAATTTGCACAGGATCTTCTTCTGTAGCTGAAAATTAACGAAGCCTAAATGTTTATTTTTAATTAGAAGCAAGCTCTCCATGACTGATCCAAGATGAGCCCCAATGTCTGTTCATAAGGAAAGGCCTCAAGATTTGCCACCCCCTCTGTGCTCTCTCTTGTGCTGAGCCTGCAAAAGTGGTGCCTCAGCTAGAAACACTGACTGCATCTGGCACAAAAGGCAGGAAAAGACTAAGCAGCCAGTTGAGGAAAGGCTAACATGGCAACCCTAGCTTCTGGTAAGGTACAGCCTGACTTACACAGGAAGGATAAGCCACCGGGGGAAGCCAACCCATGGAAAAAGCACTATGAAACCTGGCCCCAATGAGTCAATAGGAATTTTGCCACTGACTTCAGTGGAGACAGAATTTCAATTTAAAAGTGCCCCCTACTTCCTACTCCCTTCAGAACCAGCTAACCCAGCTCCTTAACTGACAGCTATTGAACGACACCAAGTGCAACACCCTCACCAACTGCTGAATGTACCACCCCTGCAGCACTCACATCCCTGCTGCCACAGGAGGTGAAACCAGGCCTGGGAATCGATGCCCTTAGTCTAAGATAGGGTGGAGCCGAGCCCTACAACCACGTCATCAACCCTTTCCAAACAAGAATCTGCACAGAAATTTCTTTAAATATGTAAAATCTGCAAACCTATGTTCCAAGGTTGGGTCGGCTACAACCTGGAGGCTTTCCAAAGAACTGCCATCATTTATGTGCAGGAACAAAACCTCTTTCTGGGACCGGACAGAACGAACCCAGCCCTGGATGAGGAAGAAAATAAAAGTTGGTGATTGCCTGGTTTGAACTCAATCTAGTTATATGCAGGACCCAACTGACACTGAGCAAGTCATTTCAAGCCTGATCCAACTCCCATTGGAGTCAATGGAAAGATTCCCTTAGGGCCCAATCCTGATTCCAATGAAATCAGTGGTAGCTTTACTATAGACTTCAAAGCAAGTAGGAGTAGATCCTGAGGCAGAGGCACCAACATTTCGCCTCAGCATAACAGGGATCCATCTGAATCTCCATGGAGCTAGGAAGATTAAAGTCAGTGACAGACTTTGAAGATGAAAAGCATTCCATAAATGCTATATCATTATTAATTATGTCTCTTGTAAACACTCCTTATTGCAACAACAGAGACAATCAGAACACCATTCCTTCAAAGGGCAGTGTCATGGTAATTCTCACGTATTGTTCTTTTTCACTGCTATGTACAACTATCTGCGGGAAGCTTGAAACTGAAATCTGTTTTCTAACTGGCTATTTGTTCATACCTACCGTGCATATGTACTGCCTTAATAAAGAGGCCAATGTCAAGGAGATTAAATCCAGAATGTAGGCTTTGTTTAAGGGGAAAAAATCAAAACCAATTAATATTTCTATTAATTATTTGTATTATCATAGCACCTAGTCATGGACTAGAACCCATTGTGCTAGGCGCTCTACAAATGCAGAATTAACAGAAATGTTTCACTGTTTTGGGTGTTTTTCAAATTAAAAAAAGGTTTCTAGCTGGACTTAAATTTAAAATTAAAAAATTGAGAAAACCTTTGTTAGCACAGAGTTAAAGATGCCTGGTGATAACGTGCACCCTTCCAGAATGTCCAGTTCAGCAAAACTCACATTTGTGAAAACAAGGAAATACAGAGTTAAGGTAAATGCCCATGAAACCTTGATTCTGTCCCCCTGGAGCTGGCAATAGTCACTAAGAATTATCTTCATGCACTCCAGCTGCATTCAGTGCGTGAGGTGTGGCTGTACTGTGGCGAAGGAATAAGATAGAGCAGCTTAGAAGAGCTGTAATTGTGATACAAGGTGATCTGGGAGACTGTGGCGCTCTGGGGGTGTGCATGAGCTCCTCTTTCTGAGGCCTGTATGTGTGATCAAAGGAAAAAAATGCAGATGAACTTTGGGAGATCTAGCATACCTCATTTCATCGCTGTGATGTATAGGCTGCGTCATTAGAAGAGCCCAGGGATCATCAGCAGTGCAGAAGAGATAGGTGTGGCATGGAAGTTTAATTAAGGGGAAGCAAAAGTAGAGTGTTTGATGGTATTGTGTGTCTAGGGTTCAAGGTCTTGTAAGTGTAGATGTGGTGTTCAGGCTAAGTGTAGGGAGCTCCTGTTCCATATAGGGCAAAGGCAGAATGTGAGTACGGTCTTATTGGGGCATCACTCAAAGCCGCTCCTCCCATTGCCCCGCCACTATTTTTAGTACACTAGTGAGATCAGAACTAGCATGGGTATGTCTCCTCCAGCTGGAATTTACATCTTCAGTTCAAAGAAAGTAGGCAGCTGCAGAGCCCATCCAGCTACTCTGGAGAAGCCTCTGCAAGATGATGATCTTCAGAAAGGGCTGAATTAGAGGAGTAATAATAAGAACTCCACAGAAATGACCAAGTGAATTAACAACATAAAACCCCCACCCACCTGGACTTTAATATCACCAGCCACCTCCTGGGCCTCTAGCGCCTCGCAGACCCTCAGTCTTGCAGCCTGCGTGTGCTTGGGACAAGGAGCAGAGGAACAACGGCGAAGAGCCAGGAGCAGACACCGTGCCCCAAACATTGCTAAAGACCTTCTGCACCTGCCCCCCTGCTAAGACCCAAGACTCCACTCAGACTCAGCTACCTTGTCCTCATATGATACGCCCCTCCTGCCTCTAGATGCCACTCCCACTACTGTCTTCACATGCACCCTATCATGTCCTCCAACCCCCCTACATCCGCCCCTCCTGGTAATGTAAAGAGACTCCACTCAGCCTCGGCAGCCTTGTTCTCAGATACCCCACCAACCCCC